CGTGGGCAGGGTCCCCCTGCCGGGGGGGGGACACACAACAGGTGCTTTTGGGGGGGTCTGCGGGTGCTGGGACCCCACATGGGACCCCATGGCGGGGGGGCAGATCCAGCCCCCCCAGGGAGGCCATCCCCGCCGTCCCCTCCGTCCCTGTCCCCTCTCCCCTCAGCGCCCCGGGACGTCGCGGCGGGGCCATGTGGGGCCCCCCCCGGGTGCCCTGGTTCCCCCTGGGCTTCGCCGTGGGGCTGGCGCTGGGGGGGAGCCTCCTGCAAGGCCTCGGGCAGCTCCGGGCCCCCCCGCGCCCCTCCGCCGCCCCCGGCGTCGCCCCCCTGCGCAGCCTCCCCCAGCCCACAGGTGAGCCCACGGGGACACCCGGACACGGGGGGGCGGGGAGGGGAGCGGTGCCGGAAGCATGGACGGACACGGACACACGGAAACACAGCGGGAGACGGGGAGACACACAGACACCTGCGGGGACACGGGGACACACACATGGGGACGCACACGGACACCTGTGGGGACATGGGGACACAGGGACGCACATGGCCACGTATGGGGACACGGGGGGACACACGGACACATACAGGGACATGGGGACACAAACACAGGGACACACACGGGGACATGGGGACACAGGGACACACACAAGGTGACACAGGGGGGTCACACATGGACACTTATGGGGACACACACGGACACATACAGGGACGTGGGGACACACACAGAGGGACATGGGGACACAGGGACGCACACGGACACATATGGGGACATGGGGACAGGGACACACACACACACACAGGGACACACACGGGGACACGGGGACACAGTGACACACACATGGGGATAAGGGGACAGATCCGAGGACACAGGGACACACGGGGGGGACACGGACACATATGGGGACATGGAGACACACACACAGGGCATGGGGACACAGGGACACACATGGACACATATGGGGACACACACACGGGGACACACATGGGGACATGGGGACACACACGGGGACACGGGGACACAGGGAGATGGGGACACAGGGACACACATGGACACATATGGGGACATGGGGACACAAACACAGGGACATGGGGGGACACATGGTGACATGAGGACATGGGGGGACACACACGGGGACATGGGGACACAGGGAGATGGGGACACAGGGACACACATGGACACATATGGGGACATGGGGACACGGGGGGACACATGGACACATATGGGGACATGGGGGGACACATGGGGACATGAGGACACAGGGACACACACGGGGACATGGGGACACACAAAGGGACACACACAAAAGGACACAGAGGGTCACACATGGACACTTATGGGGACACACACACAGGGATACGGGGACACACAGGGATACGGGGACATGGGAACACATACAGGGACACACACGAGGACACACACGGACACATACAGGGACATGGGGACACACACAGAGGGACATGGGGACACAGGGATGCACACAGACACATAGGGGGACATGGGGACACGGGGGACACACACACACGCGGACACATACGGGGACATGGGGACACAGGGACATGGGGACACACATGGGGACACGGGGGGACATGAGGACACAGGGACACACACACAGGGATACGGGGACAGAGACACAGGGACACACACATGGGGGGACACAGACAGACACACGGACACATGGACACCCCCTGGGTCCGCGGGGAGGCGGTGGGAAGGGAAGGGTGACGGGCACCGCGGGGCACCGGGGACGGAGGGGGATGGGGCGGGGGGTGGCAGCTCTGAGCTGGGGACAAGGACGGGAGGGAGGGACCTGCGTCGGGAACAGCAGTGTGGGGACAAGGAAGGGACAACGTGGCCGTGGTGGCAGCTGTGGGCTGGTGACAGGGAAGGGTCCCTGTGGCCGGTGGTGACAGCGTTGGGCTGGTACAGGGAAGGGGGCCCTGTGGCCGGTGGTGACAGCGGTGGGCTGGTGACAGG